CCTAAAGTTTAGCAGAGACTCGCTGATATTATTCGATCGCCCGAAGTCATAAAGTATACAATTAAAACACATTAAACATATTAAACAATTAAATACTTATGTCTCTGGATAGCGGCAATATGAATTGCTTTCGATAGATTCGCTGGGTATCCATTCCTCAAATAGAGGCAAACGATTCTTGAGCGCTTCGATTTCGCGCAGAATTCTCATAACGTTTCCGCCCACCAGTTTCTTGATCGCCGCATTGCCCCAGACGCGATCGCGAGCCAGCTCGGCCAGCAGCAGGGCATAGCTCTTGGGAGCACCACCCAGACCAATATGGTCCACACCAGCCACCTTGCGTACATAGTTTATGGCAATTATGGCCTCCCTTACATTAATTGGTCGATCTCCACAGCGCTCCAAGTTCAGCAGAATGACTCCCCCATTTTCGGGCAGCAGGCTGAAAAGTAAATGTCATTAGACAACAGAAACTCTGATTTCTAGACTGAAAGCCTACCTGAGCACATGGTCTGGTATAGAAGCCACATTGGTGCCATTGCACATGGAGAGTGGGCTAGCATTCATTAGGAGAACAGGTGCCTTGGCGGTGCGCAGGGCAATTATCATTGCCGCCTCGCTCAGCTGCGATATCTCCACCAACATGCCCAGACGATTCATTTCGTATAGCATTGTCTGAAAAGAAAAAAGTTGATTTTAGTTTACTAAAAACTAATAGACATAAATTTAAAAAAATTTACATAAAATTAAAAAAAAAATTAATTATATCAAAAAGTAAATAATTTAAATTAAATATAAATATTATAAAATATACATGTATGTAAATATTCCAAATGTCATTTCATTTATTTGCATTCACCTTGCCGAATTCATTAAGCGAATTGGTCGCATTTTCTTCCGCTAGATAGTCCCGTCTCCTGATGGCAGCGGAAGCCCATGGCGTGGTGCACTCCAAGCTGGTAATTGAAACGAATCTGGCGCCCAGCAGGTAAAGCGAGCGTAGAACAGCAAGGCTGGTGCCCAGGGCGTGGCCACCACCGATGCCCATAAGCACAGCGACCTCGCCTCTTATATGGGTCTGTTCCATCTCGTCGGCCGACTCCACAATGTGCATGGAATTCGTGGAGGCTGTGATGCGTTTCGCCTCATCGATGCCCTCCAGGACCAGCTGCACTGCATCCAGATATTGGGCACCGCAGTGCACAGCGATGGGCCACAGCACAGCACCAATATGATTTTGCCTAATGTCGGCCATGCCGCTGCTGTTCAGCTTCACATCACTGGGCGGCTTCCAAGAGCCCTCGATCAGAGGCGATTCCGTCAGCAGCCGCCGAATGAAGGCCAAGCGTGCCTCCAGCAGCGACGAGGAGCGCAATTGTAGGGCCAAAGGAATGCCACCGGCCATGGCAATGCACACGAGCACCACGCAAATACCCACTAAAATCTTGCGACCACGCGCACCACCCGGACGCTCAGCGGACGACTCGCTGCAGGAGTCCTTCTTGCAATTGTAGCTCGGAATGCCACCATTGGCGCAATGCAGCTTCTCATTGCCACCGCCGAACTTCGTTATCTCCGCTGGCAGCTCAATATCCGCGATCTCTGTGAACACAAAGCATTGCTGCTTGCAATGCGGCTGATGCTGATGCAGCGGGTGCACCTCCATAAAATCACGATTTGGCACTGAATTCATTGCATCCTCTTAAGTATGCAACAATATTTATTACAGCTTTACCCCTGTCTGTTTCTGTATTAAACAGATTTTTTCCAAAATAAACAGCACTACGCGAGAACTTCGTTGTATTGATTTTCCTTTTCCAATTCACTCGCCCC